GCTCTATAGCGCATTTGCTATTTAAATGGCGGACATTGTTAGTGTAAAAACTAAACGCTTCACTAGAGAGAAACGGTTAAACAGAGCATCTGCAGCGCGAGAATGAGAGATGAGCCTCCTCATTCTTTACTTTCGCTTTCACTCTCTTCCGTGCAAAGAAACATGTTGTACGCTTAGACATCCATTAGCCTAAACACACTTCACATGCTTTAAAAATGTGGCATTTCAAAACTATTGATATTTATTTTAAAGATTTATATATTTAATGATACATAAACCAACACAGGCTCATTGCAAAAACATATCCCCGCATACATTTCTGGAGAGAGCCATGCATGAGGCCAGAGGTACGTATGGCTGCATTTCATCTTTAAAATGAACACTACAGGGTGGTATGTACACTGAAAAAAAAAGATTCAAGGATGATTCCTTGGATTTACTAACTTTTTCTAAGTTAAGGGGTTGTAAACTATTTATTTGGGCTGATTTTAAACTAACAAATTAAGTTGAACATTACTAAATTTAATTTGTTTGTTTAAATTCAACACAAATAAATAGTTTGCAACAACTTTGCAGACAGCATTTTTTTCAGTGTAGAGTTTGCATGTTCTCCCCGTGTTGGCATGGGTTTCCTCTGGGTGCTCTGGTTTCCCCCACAGTCCAAACACATGCGCTATAGGGAAATCAATTAAGCTAAATTGGGCTTAGTGTAAGTGTGTGCATGTGAGTGTGTATGGGTGTTTCCAGGTGCCAGATGTATTCATTGCGTAAAAAAAATGTTGGTATAGTTGGCGGTTCATTCCGCTGTGGCGACCCCTGATGAATAATGTCCCTAAGCTGATGAAAAATTAATAAATTAATACGTAAAGCAGCATTTTTATTGCATAAATTCACATTTGTCCACACACCAAGTGATCATAACACCATCGCATCTCAGAATTGTAAGTATCTGCTATCTTCCTTTCCTAATAGTGCATCCTGCTGTTTTCTAAATTAGCCATGTTTCATTTTCCTCCTGGCCATGTTTGGTTTTATATTAGTTTCTGTTTTGCCGTGATGTAATTATGTAAAGCAGTTTAGTCTATGAAATCTTCTCAGCGTGGTGCCAACAATAAACCCTGATGCAGCAAATGCCAACATCTCCGGGTAAACATCTGATTCCAGAGCAGCTCTTATTCGCCCACACGGCTCACGGTTTATTTAACACCAGACTTGATGTTGATTTAAATGAAAGCATTTTACTTTCTGCTGCATCTCATTGTCTTTATGAAACGTACACTGCACATTGTTTATCTTTTGTTAAAGAGATAGTTCACCCCAAAAATATAAATTCTGTCATCGTTTACTCGTACGCTCAACAATATTTTTGCTGCTTGTGCAAACTACTCATTTAATCATCACAATTCTTTAGATTTTTTTTGGGGTGACCTAATTGTTTCATGTTCATTCTACTTTAATTTGTTAACATATTTATTAAAAAAGTTAACTTAAACCATGGCAGCAAGGTTGCTCAATGATTAGCACTGTGGCCTCACAGCAAGAAGGTCGCTGGTTAAAGTCCCATCTGGGTCAGTTGGCATTTCTGTGTGGAGTTTGCATGTTCTCCCCGTGTTGGAGTGGGTTTTCTCTGGGTGCTCTGGTTTCCCCCACAAGTCCAAACACATGCGCTATAGGGGAGTTGATGAACTAAATTGGCCGTAGTGTATGAGTGTCTGTGTGTGCGTGTGTGTGAATGTGTGTATGGGTGTTTCCCACTACTGGATTGCAGCTGGAAGGGTATCCGCTGTGTAAAACATATCCTGGAATAGTTGGCGATTCATTCAGCTGTGTCGACCCCTGATAAACAAGGGATTAAGCTGAAGGAAAATGAATTAAGGAATGATTACTACTGTTTGTATTGGGACAACATGAATGAATTGTGTATATCTCTCTGTGCGCTTTTTCACAGTGTAGTTTCTTTCCTCTAATGAACACAAAATAAGATGTTTTGAATATTGTCATTGTTACGTCCTTTTAGATGTTAATATTAAACTAGGAGTACATGACATAACATACATTAGTTTAATGTGTGTGACAAGCGGATGGAGAAAGAAATAAACTGAACCAAATAATCACTGCAATTATTTATTGCCCATACATCCAATGAAACCAGTAAATATATATTATACAGTGAAAGAAAAATATTTACAATGATTAAATAATGAATTACCTGGGGGGAGAGGAAGTAGTTGAATGTGCTTAAATCAAAGAAATAAATATAACAAAACTCAGTAACTGTTTTCATCAAACTAAACTAAATATGAAAAGAAAAGCATGAAAAGAAACATCTTCAACGTACCAAACGTCTAAACTAAACTGCTCTAACTAAAAACAAAACATACAGAAAACAGCACATTCTCCTGAACCTAGTGAACTAATACAAAATATACATGTGTATATGTATATCGCGCGACTTACTCACTCCTACACCTCTCCGAGGCATCACTCAAACATGTCAGTTGCTGGACAAGTTCACAAGCAAATATATTGCATTATTAAATCGCAAATTTTAGACAAGAGCATTAAACAAGCAAAACACATTCTCTCAGACTAGCCCTCGCAAGAGAGACTGTCCTCACAGAGACCCACAGAAAGAATAAGAGCGAGAAGTGGCGAGAAGGAAAGAGACAGAGAGAGAGAGAGAGAGCGATCGCCATTGCAGTTTGGGCTCGGCTATTAAACGCTACGCCAACCAGCGATTGGTGGCGCAAACCCAGCGTCAGCGGCCAACGTCATCAGCACGAAATGCGGATCCTCCAATGCCGTTCGTACCTGTAACACATGCATGAAACGACACACCCACATACAAACAAACGCACACACTTATCCAAAATACGTTCTGCAAGCGAACGTTACAGTCATTAGTGCATTTTTGGGTGTAATGACTTATAAAGTTACAGTAACTGAATTATTTTTCCACCGAAAAAGTAGATTACTGTTGATTTTCAGGTCGTTAAGTTGCAGATATTGCTTGTCTTAAAGAACCCCTATTATGCATATTTTGTTTTTGGGGGTCTCCAACAATGATTGTAAAAAATATGGATGACGCGACAGCCCTTTTCCCATTGAACGCCTTGAGGGCAAAACCCCTGCTTGACGGGCACAAACTGTCGCAAAAGACTGCTGAAATTGGAGCCTTGACATGCGCAGAAGGACTGTCTGATGGAGCCAGAGGAGGAGCCGCGAAAATGAGCAGAGTCGAGCTTCCAATCAAACGCTTTATGTAAAATCAACCACGCCCCCCGAACTGCTCAGCATGCGTTTGCTGTCATATCAACACAAATGGATGTAATAACGTTAACAAATATGAGGGTTTTATATATTCAATCGCACCAGCTCCGGACCGCAGCGCATAACCTACTTGCGGCGTCGCGGGCTGATTCCGGCTCGCATGCGGCAGCGCATCCGGAGTAGGTCCAGCAGAGGTAGTCAGTCTGAGCTCTGAGGGGTAAGTCTCCGGCAGGCGAGAATCTAGCCGGAACTGGCCCGAGTGTATTTTGCTATCTGGGTGGTTAGGCGTGTATCAGCAAACTAATAAAGCCTGAAAAAAGCCCTGACCTCAGCGAATAAACAGAGTTCCACCAGGATCATGTATGTCAGAAACTGTAGTTTACTGCTGAACTCATTTTGTCATGGTAAAATAACACAGAAATCGAATAATAACACTTTAGTCTCCTGCCGAAGCTCAGACGCGCTGCTTTGAGAAACTGTCAATCACAGCTGTCAATCACGATGACACGCCCAGCATTAAATTACTGCTAAAAACAAACTGTTTACAAAAATGAAGATCTGCACCTATTTCAGCACAATAACCAGTGCCTTAATCCACCAGAACCATCTTTCGGGACATTTTATTGCAAGTGTAATGAATTTTTTTATTTGGGCTCAAGTCTCCTTCATTAACACGGAGGAGGCGGGCTTTATGACTTGTACTGCAGCCAGCCCCCAGGGGGCGATCTAACGGCCGAGACCTTCACTCAAACACAGGCTTGCGGCACACTTGGTCTCCAACAACAGGCTGATATGCATGCAAGGTCAAAAAACACTTTCATTGTCTCATAATCTGCATTTATTTTTACCTAATTATCCCAACGACTCCCATATGATTCCTTCAGTGATTCATTTGTTCCCAAATCCCTCCTTGCATTATGCTAATCTGCATTGATTAGTCAGATGACCCAGTCTGTTGTGATTGGTCGACTGCGTTCAACAATTTTGAAGTAGTCAGAGTGCAGAGTGTATGTGTGAGCATACCTGCCAACACTCCCGTTCTTCAGACGCATCTCCCGCCACCCTCCCGTTTTGTTATTTCTCCCAAAAAAACTCTCGTAATTTCATCCATCCCGCGCCCATTATTAAATAACAGTAATTATTATTATTTAATTCATCCATTGATTTTCTTGTTGGCTTAGTCCCTTTATTAACCCGGGTTCGCCACAGCGGAAGGAACCGCCAACTCATCCTGCAAGTTTTTACACAGCGGATGCCCTTCCAGCTGCAACCCATCTCTGGGAAACATCCACACACACACTCATACACTACAGACAATTTAGCCTACCCAATTCACCTGTACCGCATGTCTTTGGACTCTGGGGGAAACCGGAGCACCCGGAGAAAACCCACGTGAATGCAGGAAGAACATGCAAACTCCACACAGAAACGCCACCTGAGCCGAGGCTCGAACCAGCGACCAAGCAACCTTCTAACATTATTTATTATGAAACAAAATGCAACAATGCATGGAGGTAATTATACACTTAAACTAATTATTTAGTGTGCATAGGGGATTGGAGAGGGCAGGTCAGGCTTTCCAGCAAGTGTGTCCACCACAACAGATGCAAGTGCTGAAGATGAACGAGCAATGAATGTTTGGTTGATCTCTCCTTTTCATTGGTTTCCCAGTTGTAAGTTGATTGGTTTATTTCATCAGCGTTTCTTCCTCTCTGTATTTCTCTGTCTAGTGAGATCAATCGTCTGGATCTGGGACTCACAGTGGAGGTGTGGAATAAAGGTCTGATCTGGGACACCATGGTCGGGTATGTCTGGATGCCGCTGCAGAGTATTCGGCAGTCGAATGAGGTCAGCACTGCATGGTTTCAATCATATCATAATAACAGTATTGCAGCTTAATTATCATTTCAGCATCTGCAATGGTCACATTACAGAATCTGCACTGTTGAGTCTGCACTGTAAAAAAAAATCTGTAAATTAGCAGTTTTTCATATTTGGTCAGTCATGTTTTTATTTTTCGCCTGTATTTTCAGTCTATTTGCTGTTGTTAATTGCATTATAGGATGTTGATCTCTGCTCTGTCCACGTCTGATGTTGAAAATTCAACTCTACATTCTAACAAAGTGACTTTTATTGACATTTTAGTGGTTATAAATG